GGGGGGAGGATGTCACGCAACGCTCTTTCCAAAGAAGCGTTGCGTGACAACCCAAAAAACGGCTACGAAGGAGACTAGTTGTTGGTAGTGAGGATAGAATCCATGAAAAGACAGCAAAGTATAGACCATTTATTTTTCATTTCAGATGGAGGATTGTAGTGCATGGTGGAGCTGATGGATACACAAGACTTCCTGTATATCTTAGGGCTTGAACAAAGAATACCGCAGCTACTGTTCTTGGCCTTTTCCAACAAGCAGTGGCAGAATATGGACTCAACTCAAGGGTTAGGTCTGACCGGGGAGGTGAGAATGTTGAAGTGTCTATGTACATGCTTCAACATCCACAGCGGGGTCCTGAGAGAGGCAGTATGATTACAGGCAGAAGTGTGCATAACCAAAGAATCGAACGGTTGTGGCGAGATGTATTTGAAGGAGTGCTATATATATATTATCACCTCTTTTATCATCTTGAAGAGTATGGCATTATTGACCCAGCTAACCAGCTCCACCTATATGGTCTGCATTACACCTATGTACCACGTGTTAACCAGCACCTTGACACTTGGAGAGAAGGGTACATAAGGCACAGAATAAGGACAGCTGGGAACAGATCACCCATGCAGCTTTACATTTTGGGGCTTCTTCACATGAGAGGCTCTGATTCCGTCGTGGCAAGGGAGATGTATGAGCCAAGGACAGACGTAAGTAAATATATAACCCAGTATCTACAGACTTATATGTATCACTTGAATCTCAGATATTAGGAGAATTATAGGAACTTGAAGAAGGCATTGTCCAGTTCTGGGTCCTCCCCACTATTCCTACGCTTTGCGTTTATGCAAATACATCACTTGTGAAATTCATACCAAACTACGTTCAGGCCCTGAGTGGCATATTGTCCATATCCTCACTAGCAAAGGTGATAATGTCATTTTCTGCTCTTTCACTGTTGTTTGGGCAAACAGTCAGTTTGACTGTATAATAAGAAAGAAATACCTGGTGGCTTGAAGGCTTGTTGAAGATATTATGAATTTTATTTTTATTCTCATATTGAGGCAATTTTTACTTAAAATTGGAATTTATATCTGATGTCACATGTGATATCCTCTGTATATCTCCTCTGAGGCATTGCCTTGATTGTGCAGGAAGTTGTGCCTGGTGGAAATATTGAGTTTGGTCAATGTTAAAGCTGTATAACTTCAAGAAGTTTGTGCCCCTGACCAGTTCAGTAAAATTCCAGTTTTTTTTTGTAATTTAGCTCAACATGCAACTATTCAAAAAAGTCGTAATGAGGTGTAAGAACAGGCTTCAGAATGGAATTAAGGGCATATATTTACATATTAGTTTTTCATACATACCCTATTGATTTCACATTTTACTCGTAGTATTGTCTTCTTAGCAAGAAATTAATGGATATGGCATTGACTGGGATGGGCCACTTCCTGAAGAGGAGTCTGACTGTAGTGTTGTAACAGTACCAGAAACACCTTGCCCATTAGAGCAAGACCAATACCAGGAGATGTGTGCTTTGATAGATCCCCTACGACATAGTAATAGTTATGGAATTGATATCTTAACCGAGGTTATTTCATTCCTTACAACACATGCACCGTGAGCATTACGAGCATTAAAAAATAGGTTACTGATATCTGTATTTTGTTTTGCATGAATTATGTAAAAAAAAGTGACAAGCTGTACATTCAAATGCTTTTGATTATGAGATAAATGTTGTATATTTTGCTATTTGTCTCACCAAAAAGTTCAGCAAGTGATTCTATAACGTCCCTACCACAGGGGGAATTTGTAACCCCCGTCTAATGGAGTTTCTGTCTACAAACTCTATACTGCCTTATTCTGTACTAATCTCACCTGTAGAAGTGGCTAGATGTATTATAGGAATAAAATAAATTAAACAAATTTCTTAAAATAATGTCCATTCTTTTATTTCCAATTTGCTAAAACTGTATTTGCATGTAAAATATATCTGCTTTGTTTGTGACTTATGGTTCTTTCTATACAATACACAACAATAATTATTACATATAAAGAGTGTAATCTAAAATCATAAAATAATATGATACATTCTTTAGAAAGTTAGAACATGGAAACTATTATAAGCTGATCTCGAATTTCCTCCTGTTTTTGTGAACATTGGAAATGTGTCATTTGACCCTAACTGCAACCTCAATAGAAAAAAAAAATGGATAAACACACCCATTTTTATCATTTATGTACATGTAATCTGACATCATTATTCATCCAATGACTCTGCTCATGCAGCTTCGTCTGCTTATAATGGCCCCTTTGGATACCAGCCATGATGCTGAATGGGCCAACCTGGCTAAATAAAGTATTAAAACTACTACTACTTATACACCTTAAAGAAATTGTTCCACTGAGATGTGACATACACTATCAGTCAGAAGACAGCACTTTATACCATACAAAAGACAGGAAAGCCAGTTATATTCAACAGTATTACACCTAACTGCTACACATGTGTTGGACTGATTGTGTGTGTTGGCCACTATATTATGGTATAGCATAAAATAGTCATGTAACACTCTCTCGTGGTATACAGTGGAACATCCTACTTGTCACCAGCCTTTCCTGGCATACATTTCATAACAGGTTGGCTTGAGTAACAAATAACTGCAACAGTTGAAACTTAAATCCACTTAAACATAAAGTTTTGGTTGGGACAACAAATTTAATGTTGGAAACCAAATACATGTAAAAGTGCCATATGGTCCCTTGTTTTTCATTCTTATATTCTTCAGGGTAAAGTAAAGTGCAGTTTAAGGTGGCCCAAAACTGTTTCCAGCACTTTCCAAGAAGTAAACTTTGATGGGTGTTACGTATATGGTTTGTCTTACCATATTTGGAGTAAACATGTGCGTTCTAGTTCTATGTAGCTTACATGAAGTACGCATTAAACGAGTTGAGTTGCATTGCAAATGGCGTCTTGTCGTGCCATCCGTAACAATGGGTCATTATATCAATCAACTCTAAATTGGTTGATATCACAATCATGGTTTCAAGGAACTGCCCAATCCTTGGGGAACAAGTTGGTGTCAATTTCATGGCACAATAGGTTACCATAACAACAGTTTGACCTGCTTACAACATCCTTAATTCTAGCTTTAAGTGCTTATAACTTTATTACCCAATTGTGGTAAGCATTCATGATAATATAGCTCTGAACCTCTCCACAGAATTTTTTGTAAACTTTGTAAAAAGTTGCATCTTATCATACTTATCACAATTTGACAATAAAAAAGGCGTCCACTGGGCTCATTTTGCAATTATAAGTGCTTAAAGCTAGAAATAAGGGTGTTTTTAACAGGTTGTATTGTTGTTATGATAACCTGTTATAAGAAATGATGACCGCAACTTGTTTACCAATGATTGGGAATTTGTAGGATACCATAGACCATATTCATAAATGACTACCAATTAAAACTTCTTTTGTCAGTATTAAAATTAGCCCAACTAACCTTGCTTTTGAGTTGAAAATTCAAAAGAATTTTTACTCTCAAACAAGGTTAGTTGGGCTAATTTAAATGCATACGAAAGAATGTTAAATTGGCAGCCATTTATGAGTAAGGTCTATTACTGTAGCATCACTTGTTAAACAGTGGTAGTATTCATCCTTCAAAGTGCTGCTGTTAGGAAAGTGCTGGATACTGTTGGCAGTCTCCTTAAATAGAATTGAAGGCCTGTCCTGATGGATCAGAAACAGCTTTCATTGCTGCTTTGAATCCCTCATATGATTCAAAATGCTGAGGGACATGAAGCTGCAATAAACAGGTGGAGGCAAAGACACATCCTTCGTCGTCATCAGTAAACAACACATCAATCCTACATGCTCCTTGAGGAAGCATGCAGGAGCCGGTGATAAATCGCAGGAAGTGCTGCAGATCTAGACACACAATTATACTAATTATTAAATAATGAATGAAGGCAGAAATATCACTGTTAATGTATTCACTGGAGCAAAAAAGACTCCATTCAGTATGTATCAAACGAAATCAATATCAGTACCAAGCTAATTACTGGTAATATCAATCTTAAAGATTATTACAATCCAGAAGTAATAATTTTTTATTTTAACTATGTACATGTACAGTACATGTAGTATACAAGTCATGTTCTTAAAATGTTACTCTCTTCTGTGTTCTCAAATCGGAATTGCAGAAATGAAACATACCCTGTTTGGAGCACTCATTCATGTATTGGAGTAGATGGTCTCTGGTGGCACATGACTCATTAATTGAAAAGCTGAGAGAACTGACGACTTTCTCGGCAGTCACATCACATACATTTGGATTGCTTAAGAAGAGATTTTCAAACAGCCTTGGCCTTTTAGTGATCTCATCCAGAACATTCAGTATCTGAAGTCCTTTTCTCACGTGGTCCAAGACTACCTTCTTCTTGCTGAGTACAGTGTGTAGCATTAGGCTTTCCACCAACAACTGCTTGTTCTTCACCTTAAGAAAAACAGCAAATAAATCACAGCTCATTGCCAATAATGTGTCACCATGGTCCTTTTCATTCACGTACCTCTGATACTCTACAAATTATTATACACTATCACATGTGTTTTTACTGTATTTTCTATGCAGGCAAGTGAATCTTGTAAAATGACAGAGTCAATATGCTTATTAAAATTACTCATTTGATGTCCACACACACAATTCAATACAAAAAAAAAAAAAAAAAAAATTAATGATATTGGCATGCTAACATCAAGAATAGCACTCACTGTTGGGCGTTCAGAACAGCCAGCATCACAGAGAAGAGAAATGAATGATGCATTGTTACCCAATTCTTGCATGCCTGCCTTGTCAGAATCCATCAGCTAAGTAATTCAGTAATGAGCCATATAATACATAAATGTAAACTTTGGTGTCTTTAAAATATTTAAAAAACACAGATAGATAAACTTATTTTACAATGCTTCTATTCTTATATAAACTGTTTCTCCAGTCTAAGGAATGGTGGGAGGAGCTTCCGGGAGCTTTGTTCTAAAAATTTCTTGGGGGTTACCCTCAAACCAAACTACAACTTTAGGCACAGTTTTCAAGAAGAAATCTGGCACTTAAGAAAGCTGTCAAAGATCATGTGCGCTCTAAGTTTAAATTAATACTTAACTCAAAAGACATTTATAAACAGATTTTCTGAAACTAAACCCTGTTCAATTGAGAATTTGCTTTGCATCGTTTGCTTTCATCCACAGTTATTCTGGTGAATGGCACACTAAGCTGCTTGGCCAACCTTTCACTGCAATTTTACAGGAGGTTTGCATTTTTCTTTGCTTCCGCACAAGCTTGTAGTCGTTTTATCAAAATTGATAACAGAGATTCACAACTACCTTTTTGATCAGATGTGCCACTTCGATGTCTCTGACATCACTTAGATTACAATAGCCAACAGCCTTGGCTATGCCACCAGTCACTATGTACCAGTAAGCTGCTGGGGAGAGGAAAGGGAAGCCAATGCCACACTGGACGATTGAGTGGGCAATCATTTTGCCCACTACAGTCAGTATACCAGAGTATACAATGGTGGCAGAGTACTTGGGCATGAGCGGTCCATCTGGCCCTTCAAAAAGGACAAGGTTGAGACCACCATCTGCCTTTGCAATTTCATTGAAGAGACGAGTATAAAATTCTCTCTTCGGACCACCCACATTAACAGCTGGTTGATTCTGGAACTGAACTGTTACTGGACTAACAGGATCCAACTTAGCACTTTTGTAGATGGGCAGCGCATCAAGAATGACTCTATTTTCATCTACAGTTACTCTGATGACTGGCCCAGTAAGCTGCTTGGCTAGCCTTGCAATTATGTCAGATAAATCATCCATATCTGTGGACAATACAGTAACCTCAAATAAGTAAAAAGAAATACTATTGTCAAAATGCAGTCATCTTAATAATGAAAACTATTTAAAAGATCTTTAAAAAGACTTTTGAAGGCTTACAATGTAATTTAGAATTTACATTATCCTTCTTACAGAAAACAAACTTAACACACAAGAAAACTAAAGATGATGTAGACTGTAGCAGTGTGGTTTTTTTTAAATTATTTGTCCATTTACCTGCAATATGTGTAAAGTGTTTTTTTTTTTTAATTAGTTGTCCATTTACCTGTAATATTGTCTGATGGTGTAAAGTCATCTGCCCAAACCATCAAGTGTTCAACTTGCTTATCCACAATATTTCCTATTTCAAAGCAATAGTAGATGTGCTTGTGACAACATGCATTTAGGTGCACACTTGAAACCCAAACATAAACATACAGTTGAGCAAGCTATGCTGTTTTGTGGTAGAAGAGGGCAAACAAAGAGATGATATGCATTGCAATTGAAAAAGAAAATTTTGTTCTTTAACATAGTTAAAGGAGAAAGTGACCTGTTTCGTTTCCTTGGAGCAGAAATTCTGCCGCCTGATTTGTGTCTCCTCCACAGGACTCCAAAGCCTGTTCCAGGTCTTTGGTGTCAGTATCTGGAAGCAACTGCTTCAGGTTATCTAAAGGATCTTCTGAGAAATTGAAAGTAAGGCACAGTTTTAACTGGAAACATGGATTTGTTTTAACTTCTAGCTTTGTTTAAATAAAGTTAGGTTCTGTAAGTTCCTGTACAAAATTTTTCATAAAATTCTAATACTGTCTGCCTAGTAAAATACAAAACCCTCAGAGTGATTGCACATGTTATTCAGCGAGGACTATGTAAATCGTTTGGCAAAGATCACGAATCACGCAACATACCTTGGTTACTGTTGACGTCTGTTGGCACTGTCAATGATGGTCTGCAGTACTGCTCAATCCCTTCAGTTCTACTTCAACAAAACAAGAAAAAAGGTTTCCTCATTAAGGTAGAATCTGGGAGTCACTGGATATTGGAACTACACTGTACAAGTAACTATACAGGAACCCAGAAATTCAAACCCTTAGAGACACACATATCACAGCATTGATCTAGACAAGGTAAACAAACCCAGGTTATGGAAGGGTTGTTTCAGATACTAAATGTTAACACCGAACTAAAACAGGCCTACATACATACATATACATACACCATATTTACGCTCCAAAATTTTAGAACATAGGTTATAGAAAGAAATTATAAAAAAATGACCTTGGCCTGTTTTAAAGATTTTTCTAAACATGAATAAACAAAATGTACCTTTTCTCTTTTCCAGCAGTACCACTCCCCCCACCATTACAAACAAGGTGATGGTCACTAATGGCTGTCATTGCAAAATTGCCACTGCAATTAATGCACGCTACCATTGGGCCACTGTTTGTTTCAAGATGTGTTGATTCTTCTCCCTAAAAAAAAAATTATAATGTACAATAATTAGGGACATATCCATTAGGGCCTGAGCCCGCAAATTTCCAGGCTGGGTGCCACACATTGTTACCTTTATTTTTGTTGTACAGGCCTACAAGACTTATACAAAGGGTATAACATTTGACTTCTGAGGGGGGCTGGCTGATTTGGTATAGGCATGCATTTTCTTTTTAACCCTTTCAGGCAATAGAATTTCTTTTGTCCTCAGGATGGGTGTATGCATGAGGCTACATGCTTTTTTCAAGCTCACCAAACATCTATGAAATTCACTGACAGTGCTTGTGTGTATGATTTTTTTTTGGTACTTGTGTACTTGCAGGATCTCTTTTCTTCAGAATAGTTCAATCACCACCCCTCAAAGGTGAAATGGTCCACTCCTGGGCACAATTTCTAATTTTTTACGATAACTGCAGAAATTCTTGCCCGCTCATTGGCTAATTTTCATTGTCAGTAAGCAGACAGACACATTAATTTATAACTTATGTGATGTGGCAACGAGCAAGAGAGGACAATTTGACAATTTGTTATCATAAAAAACAGAATAGAGATCAGTTTTTCATGCATCTGTCCTGTTATTGACAATGACTTTCGTCATAACATTGTCTACACAGCTACTTCAACAATCTAGCTACTCTGACAATGTTATGACGAAATTCATGATCAATAACAGGACAGACGCATGAAAAACTGACGTCAATTTGTTAAGTTTTTTACCTCGCTTCTCTCGAAATTTGATGAAGTTGAGGCAGACTCCCCAACTAAGACGATGTCCTTTTGAAGAGGGCGCAGAAAACCGTTCGCCTGGCCAAGGACACTCTTAAGGTAGTCAATGGAAAAGCCACTTGCTGGCATCGGTATTTTTAACAACTCTTTTCCGCGACCCTCGGAATTCCGGAGAAGCTGGTAGCCGCTTGCCAGGGATGGAAATGTACTGATGATGGCTTCATGTACTTGAGCCCCGTTGCCATCGCGAGGGAATTCTATGCGCTTCTCCCCCAGGTTGTTTAGCGTTAACACAACCCGTTGGCTTGGTGTGGGTGGATGTGTTTGGTTGCTGTAAGCCAAGCAAACAAACGATCTGCTCCACGTGGGGCCTCGGTGGTGGAGATGGTACGGGGCGCTAGAGTTAGATCGACCTCTAGCTCTACCTCTGGCACTGGTACCATGGCTTCTGACATTGCCTGCAACTGGAGGCCTGTATCCTAATAACCGGGCGTGCTCTGAAGCAGCGGACGAAGCGATCGGTGGTGCACTGTTTGCGGCCGAAATATTTGAAATGGCATTGCCACTTGCAGCAGCAACAACATTGCTTGTCGCAGGCAAACTTGAGGCTGCAGAATTCGCCGTTGACAGGGAAGCTACTCTGCCCAAATGTTCGGCCGTCTGAATCAGCCGATCTGCCGCTTCTCTCAAGATATTTTGCGGGGAATCCGACATATTAAAGTTAGACCTCGCGGTGATCCTAGTGTTGTCAGACGAAAGTAGGCGCGAAACTTGGAGTCATATTATATATTATAGTGTAGGATCCAGGCCTGCGCGGAGAAGACGCCTGGTAGAATCGAGAAGTCAGAACACGCGCATTTGCAAATTTTGCAAATTTTGCAAATCAGAATGTCGGCTCAGCAGAGGGGTTTCATCATCAACTGAATTGCTTGTTAGGTGTCAGTATGGGATGTTTAGTTGAGATGTTTAAACTCAGTAATACGACATTTGGTAACTTTTTACATTGAAAGTCAGAACATGCTGGACATAAAATTCGAGAGAAGTCAGGTTTTGTTCAAAGGTCAAAATATGCCGGATGTTATGATTTTAGTATTCAGGAAACGCGAAATGTATTGTTTCGGAGGTCAAAAGAGATGTGCACTGTCTAATTTCAAAGACAGGAAATGAGTGACATTTTATTTAGCAAGTAAGAAAAGGTGGAAAAGTTAGTTTTTAATTTTGACCTTGAAAACGCGCCATATTTTCCCCATTATTGTGATTCAGTTACCAAATCTGGATATGTTGTAACGCAAGACTTCCTTGTGGGTCCTTTGTGTGATCTTGAATCATGTGTGGAGTTTAATAAAGTTTAAGATAATCACAAAACTATTTGCATCGCTTTGCTTGCTTTAATTTGTAGTGTTTTAAAATGTGCATCCACGACAGTTTTGTCTACCGTACATCGACGTTGACAACGGGTGTTATTAACCAGAGTAACGGAGCAAGGAGAGAGCGAGTAACGGGTACATATTCAAAAGGTGAAAAATTATAGAATCTTTTAAAAATGCGTTTTGATCTATAAATAGTAACCAGCAAACCAACTCACAAAACAAGCCTGACGCTTCGTGTGTTTTTCTGTGATGCTATTAAACTCATAAGTTCAGAATTAAAAGTATTATAAAATTGCTGAGGCTAATTGACCGACAGCCGGTCAAGGTCGTCATAACACTACATTATGTCATGAAAGTTCCAATTTAATTGTGTGACAGTTTAT